AACAAATTACAAACATTTCCCCTCAGAATTTTCTGGATTTTAAATATTACTGCCATCGCAATAAAAAATAAAATGCACTGTCATGAAAATACCTTGAAATGCCCTAGAAACGTACCAATTTTAGATGCAGGTATGTATTCTACTATCCAATGATTCAGCCTAATATTTAATCAAATTAGCCTTTCATAAAATGCGGCTCCAGTTCTAAAATGTAGCGTCACTTGTTTGCAATGTGACGTAAGTGCTTGAGTGCACCAGAAATCGTGGGAATTCTTTCGAAACAGGAGAACAATGATTCATAAAAAAATCGCCGCGTTCACAATCACAGATTTCTAACAGAATGTAAATGAAATTGAAAGCTGACAAAGAGTTTCCGTTTGAAGAATTCTGTATTTCTGTCAGTTTTAGAATACCCAATGAACGATATTGTTTATAAAGAGACCATACCGACGATTCCTCTGTATATTTCTGGTTCGAGAGACGTGCGAGAAAATAAATAGCCGATAAATATTAGAAATTTCACTGCTTGTTGGGATATTTGCCTGGTAAACATTGTCTTAGCCTGTTTTAGCAACATGCATTATCTTTGGCCCGTGGATATTTGACTCCGGCTTTGAGCCTTTTATTTGCAGGGTAAACACAAATAATTGCATACTGTTCGTCTGCAAATCAGGCACAGAGTCAAGAACGTTTGAGCGTGGCATCAAGTGATCAAGAAGAGAGATCAGGTATGAGGTTGTTTCCTTGATTTCCAAATCTCTCACATTGTTCGCCTTAATAATCACAACTGGGGTAATGCTCTTTGGATTTGCACAACCATTGGGGAAAGTTTATTAATCAAATCTTGCTATATTATTTTCTCTTCGCAGACTACTATAGGTAATGCCATTCTTTTAGCAGGCGAGAGGAGTTATTTTCATGTAATTTTATCCTTCGTAACGGACAGTATAGCTAGTAACTTTCCATGAAAACTCCACATTCATCGCCCGCTGCAACTGCTCGTCGTGTGTATTATGCGTCACTGCATTCGAACATCTAGATTCTAATTTTTTATGATGATTTTTATTCAAATTCAATCCAACGCTATATTAGCCCTAAAAATCAAATTGCTTGCCCAGAAGCTAGCCTAAAGCTCTTGAGATACAGGTAAAGTTGAAGGGAAAGGACTGCACAAATTAACATGTGCTGTACTGCACTGCATGTCTTCGACCTTAAACCAAAAGGTAGATGCAATGAAAAGATAGGTGTGTTGTCTTGAAATGTCTTGGAAATGTGCAGAGGTATAAGCGGAGCGAGAGTAGAGAGCTTGCCTTAAAACGTTGAATGGCCTACATTAGACAAAGAAACAGCTGAAAGTATTGGGCGTTCAAATTCATAATTGCCAATAAATACCGAGAAACTCAAATATCGATCGATTGAATGGGCACAGCGTAATCGAAGCAAGACTATTGCAACATAGTGGTGAACAAACGAGCAACTAGCACCAATCACAACTCGTACTTTTCATTCAATGCTTCGTTGTCCATGTCCCTATCGTCGCTTTTGTATGGTTGCCATTTCAAAATAATTTCTTCTCAAAAACAAGCTTATAAATTTTCAAAGCTTTAGTATTGCGTTGAAAAGCACACTTCTAGGACCAAAATTTTATGAACCACACCTGCAACATTTTTTCATTAAAATTACCAGCTCCGTCGTTTTGTTTTAGAAGTAGACAGTGCCTTTTACTTGCACTGCTTCACAGAAAATAACTCGGCTTAAACAGCATTCCATTGTTTAGAGTAATGCAAAGTAACGATTGATAAACAAAACTTGACCCTTTAACGCTTTTGAAATATATTTTGTTCTGGACTGTCAGTTATGTAAATATTTTGTGAATTGCAAATGGTGTTCATCGTTCGATGGCGTTGGTTGTTTGATCTGCAATATCTTCCCATTTACTTACATCAAAAAGCTTTTATACACAAAAGCGAATGACTTAAAGTTAATAATGTACGAGAACCTAGATAAATATGTCATCGCAGTTTCGAAATGCTTTCAAAACTCAATAATGTCAGTTGGGTTTTAAGGAAATATGAACCATAACCGAGATGTGTTTCGATTGTTTCAGAACACACAAGGCTGCATAATTAAAATTGATTTTTTTGCTCCTCTTCTTGCGTCTGATTGCTCAGTAAAAGTCATTTAAGCGATCTTTGCTAGATGTATTGTTACGCGCAGGTACGCGATACTTAATATCCAAATCAGACTCGCCTTGAATTGCGCGTTTATTTTTGCTCTAGGAAGACATTTTTTCGGGATAATGTTTTTATTGATTTTTTGGCTGGAAAATGTTTATGTTAATTGTTGAGTCTATTTGAAAATTGATTTAATATCTTGATTCTACGACAAAATCAAATATTTTCGGCTGGGGTATACGTGAATGTGTCTGAATTCAATAGCATTGAGGATCATCATGCATGGCAAAACTTTAAACCATCATACTATGGTTTAAAATGGCAGAGCATGTTTACCATGACTTGCAGGACCATTCCTTATCATTTGCCACCTCTAGCTACTTGTCTTTTGTTTAAACATTATCTTTTCTTTGAAAGGGCCTTTTAATTCTGCTCGACATGCTGCTATAGTTTTTGCGTCTGCATTTTCGAAAATAATTTTACATCAAATAAAATGAGTTTCTAAAAATCGTCTAAAAATAGTTCTAGATTCAATCTTTCTGGCACTTAGTGGCAAGTCATTAAATTCTTTTCCTGCCTGATAGTAAAAACCTTTGCGTCCAAATTCTGTTTTCACTTGTTTTCATTCAATTTACGTACAGGCTTTGCACACATTAACAATGTTTTTCCACAGTAAGAATTCTAACGGACACACATAAACCAGCTTTGTTTTCATGATAAATTTCAACCAATCAAATGAATTTGTGTTGTTAGATTGTCCAATTAAAATGCAACATACATTAACCTGATTTACCCTAAGCTGGTTTAAGTTGCCAGTGTGAATAGGGTGTAAAAATACCCTTCTAAAAACCGTTTTTTCCTATGAATATATATAAGAACCTTTGCAAATTTCAGCCTCTTAGGGGTTCTTAATTATGAAGTTTAACAAATTAAGTTTCAGCGTCAAGGTTCTTATAAAAGCAGGTTTTTTATGTGGGTTTCTACTGTAGTGCAGAGCTAGCCTGTTTGCAGAATTCGCAGTTACATGCAGCAGGATTTGGTTTCTAATCTTCTGTTGCCATGCATCTTTAATGCACAATGTCCAGAATGCCTGCTCGATTGAGGAGCAAGCTACCTGTTAGTTTGTTTTTCTTCTATTACGACCCTTGTCTAGTCTTGCTTTGAAACAGGTATCCAGCAAATAATATGATATTCTGTAATTAAATAGTGGATTTATTTTCAGAAGAAACAAAGAAGAAGTTCTATTTACTAACCCACCAAACGAATATATCTTCAACCGTCGCAAGCTGATGCAAAGATAGGTGAGTTTTTCCTACCTTAAGTCTTGTACCTTATTCCTTTTCTTTAATATACGCTTTTCTATCAATCGCGAGGAAAACCAATGTCTTATCGCAAGGTCAACTTCTTTTCACTTATCAAGAGTCTCAAGTATGCATCTCTGAAGTTGTCACAAGCGTGCATTTCTGAAGATCGTCATCGTTTTTCAATATTATTTTTTGGTTAATGTAGTTGATGGAAAAGGTGCTTATGGTTTTTGCTTTTGTATCACCATCTTCATCATGGCTATTATGATCATAATAATCAACACCATTGTGGTCATTTACGGTCATCATGATTGATGTCATCTGTCAATATCAATCACGATAATCATGATTACGATCAACATGATCATTTTGGTCATCATCATTGATATCATCAGTAAATATCAATCGCAATAATCAAAATCATAATCATAATCAACATGATCATTACGGTCATCATGATTGATGTCATCTGTCAATATCAATCACGATAATCATAATCATAATCAACATGATCATTATGGTCATCATCATTGATATCATCAGTCAATATCAATCACAATAATCATAATCATAATCATAATCAACATGATCATTATGGTCATCATCATTGATATCATCAGTCAATATCAATCACAATAATCATAATCATAATCATAATCATCATAATCAGCATGATCATTTTGGTCATCATCATGGATGTCGTCAGTCAATATCAATCACAATAATCATAATCATAATCATAATCATAATCAACATGATCATTATGGTCATCATGATTGATATCATCAGTCAATATCAATCACAATAATCATAATCATAATCATCATAATCAGCATGATCATTTTGGTCATCTTCATGGATGTCGTCAGTCAATATCAAACATAACAATCATAATCATGATCACCATTGTCATAATCAGTCACATTAGTCATAAACAATCATCGTGTCTATGGTCGTCATCAGTTGTCATAGACATTACGTCATCGTTGTCGACTTCATCATCATCATCATCACAGTTATTAATCGACATTGCCATTGCATATATTGCATTGTTGCTATGGTGAAACACAGACTCCTCCGGTCTGACTTGTTTAATCATTTTATACATAACCAGAACTAGTGAAGTCACCGCTATATTTTTCTGCTATTCTGGGACAAAGTAAATCTCGAGCTGGAAAACAATTATGTTTTATTTATTCCTCTTGCATAACAAAGGTTATGTTTGGCTCATGGGCAAAAATACAGCCAAGAGCATGTTTGTATGAGAATTCTATACTGCTATGATTCATATGTTAAACGGTTTGAAAGGGTTCGGTTCGCCTGGTTATTGCTGAAGTGCACGAAGGCTGATTAAAGCTTTATATCGTATGTTAATATTAATGCAGTCTTGTTTTGATCTGCTCGCCGGTTGCATACATCTAAAGCACATTTAAACACGGATTGCTCTTCAATTTGCAGTTGACTTTACTAGGATACCATTTGTTTACAAGGTGAGATTCTTAACATGGTTTTTTATAATGGGCCGTACTTAACATGGAGACTTCGGGAGAATACAAGGTTTTAATAAGGGAAAAGCATATAGAAGGGCTTGCTCCATGGCCATCGAGAGCCTGCTCGGTCAATGGGAAAAATCTTGAGATAGGTACTTGAAATGAATTTCCCTTTACAGATGCAAATTGAACTTCCCCCTGGTCCGGAAAATGGAAATTTTACCCTTGCTACCCTCCCCCTTCTCGATGCTCCTGATCTGTCGATTGCGTCCCCCTTGGACGAATAACATGGAATAACCATATTTAGATTATATCAAAAATTGTTCCAGTTAACATATATAAATCTGCAAGCTTGTTTTTACACCGTATCAGCCGCTTTCCCTTTGCCTTGCCCACTAGTTTAGAACTCAACAATAAAGACTGCAGAGCATATTACAGATTGAGTGGGCTAAAACATTTTTTGTTTTTTGTATGGTTTTAAGTATATTTTGGAAATGCTTAGGGGCTAAAGCCCCCGTAGCCCCCCTCCCCGCTTCCGCGGTCCCTTCTCAAAACTGCTAATATTTCCATCTTGTTCTGTAATTGTCTTGAGCGACATTTCACTTCGATGATCTTCAGCGAAAATTTGTTTGATTATTTTATCATTTGAAACTTTCACAAAATTTACATTTCAGGATTAAAATTTTAAGCCTCTTCCTTCTATTTTTGCCCAAATGTAAAGAATTCTTCAAAGCATCTCTGGGTTCGCCTCGAGTCTCCTGGCTTTTAACCTTTTTTCCGGTCTCTTCCGGTCATCGCAGCGAAACTCCCACACTTGATGGCGTTGTTGCACTAGCCACACTGATCTATATAAAATACTCTTTTTTATAGATCAGTGGCTCTAGCCTTTGTTCCAGACCCCTAAGTTTTCTCTTTTAGCGCATTATAAGAGAAATCCAGGAACTTCGACAAAACTTTTAGAAAACCTTCAAACATCTAGGTTGTGCTGTTTGAACAATTTAGAGTTCTATGAAAGAACATAGCAATTATTTAAGATGCTTGTTTTCAAAATTGATCTCTAGTTTAAAATTTTAAGTAAATCCCGCCCTAATAGATTGTCTTCAAGACATTTGACTTCCTGTATTTTCTAACATATCCCATGATTTGATTGCGGCAATGCATTTAGGCCCAAAGAGAAAGACAGTAATTGGAAAAAAGGACGCTCATTCAATTAATTAACTTCAACCACTAAAATCACCTCTTCGATGTATAGGAAGACTATGGACAGTACTTCTTTACCTTGACAGCTTCGAAATGGAAAACAGTCAGTTTAAATGCCTGGGTTTTTTGCAAGCAAATTTTGTCTTACGTGTCGTTACGGTTTCAACTAGATTAGTGATTAGTCACTTCAACAGCGTATCTTCTCATTAGAATCCAGTCTGCATAGTTCAACCAGTATTTTCCTTTCTTCTGGTCACTGCTTTCGCAGCAGAAGGTTTTTAGCTTGTTATTCCATGCATTTTTGATAGAGCACATTCACTTCACTACTCAGAATGTTCAAATATTGTTTGATTTGATCCTTTCGTGGTGGTCGTTGTTCGGAATTCGGGGTAGATTAAAAGATCAAAGCTTGGCTTTATGCGTAGCGGAGTTAAGAAATGGATTTTGCCTGTCAAACAGGAAACTCTTCACAATGACTGCGGCTTAAAAGCGTAACATCGACAAGAAAACATTGATATCAAATACAGTGACAGTTAAAAGACGCGATTAAAGTTCAGCCTGGTGGCAATTAACTGGTCCCAAATCCATTCATGTCGTTGGACTAAGAAAGAGCTTTACGGTTGGCAAACCCTGCACTTTGCTATCGCTTTTACATAACTTTGGGATTGGCATGAAAATCTTATCCGTGGGAAAGGAGCTTTGGTGTTTGCAGAGGGGGCATACCAATGTGGTTGTCAGTGGTACCGTTATTTTTTTAAATTTCCTATACAAGATTTTCATTCTCCATTTGGGTCTTGCAGTACTGAAGTTGCTTGAGTAGGGAAACCTGTAGCTATAAAACTTTAGCGAAATGGGCCTAATTCTTGTCTGTTCAGAAACTTTCATGCCCATATGACTTTCTCGGGGGTCATTTGGTTCTCATCCCCTGGACAGGTGACTTTGCCACACTAGCTGCTGTATTGAATCAAGCATTTTGTCCTTCTTTGAATAAGTAATCAAGTTTTCTTTCAAAAACTGATTAATTCCTTTTAACAAAAAGTCACTACAATAGAAAGAGAGAATGGTGGATGGTTGCAGAAACCCTTTCAGAATTTTTTTAATGTGGCATGTAGGCACTGCTCAACACGCTACTTTCTATTGAACGAAAAGCTGTCGCGCGAAACCTGTGAAGATTTTGTGCGACAATCGTTTATGCTTTTCACTGCAGCAGAAATTTGTTCAAAGGATTCAAAATGGCTGCAAGCAATCGAAATCGCTTTTAAAATTTCTTGCCATAATTTTGTGACAGTTGGTTGCGCTTTTTGTGCAATTTTACTATTTTGGGCCATCCCTCGAATAAAACTCGCCAGATCCAGCCCCAAAACTGTGTGCCGCGAGCTGGATTCCAACTTACTTTGCATGTCTGTTGTCGCACGAACGATAAAAAAGTTGAACGTTTCTCAACTTTTCTGCGACAAAGCCGGGCCAGCCTGGCCGACAACAGCCACATTAACAGCTCATGCTCAAAATACACTTTTCTCGACAAAATCTTTTCGCGCGACAACTTTTTGCTCAGTGTCATATGACGTAGCACAATTTCGCGCCCTTTTGCTTGTTTCTTGACTCGTACCTTCTCTGAGGCAGAAATCAGATGATTTCAGCACATTCCTTCAGAACGAGGCTGTTGTTTCATATTTGTTTGCCTTATTCAAATTTTATTTTTATTTGATTTTGCTATCAGTATGACAAGATTTTCAAGCGTTCAAATTCTACCAAAAATTTGCTTCATCAAAACAAATAGTTCTTATATGAGGGCTGTGTTTGTTTTCATTTATAAATCTTGATGTCAATTTTCCAACATGTACACGACTGTGAAAGTTTATACGAAAACTCTTCATATATACATTTTCCTTTTTTGCATTAAGCTTTTTTCTGATAAATTTGATAACCCCGGTTTTTTCTTTTCTACACTATACCTATACTTAATAGTTAACAGATTACCGTGTATCCGCCTAAAATAGGTGACTCAGGGGGCAAAGTCCTCCTAGTTCAAAATCAGCTGATTTTGGAGGGCGCAGACAGTTTCTTAGAGTGACCAAAGTTACGTACTGCGTCACTGGAATTTTATTTTGCTCAAATGTCTATTGGATTTGCCTGGCATTTTAAAACATGGTTATAAGGGCAAGCTATTCAATTCTAGAATCTTTTAAAGATTGTAGCCAGAAATTTTTTTTTAATACAAAGTCCAATTTTAACCTCATGTTAGGCAGGACAGGAGGTCGATGTGCTGTTAAGAAATTTGGATGATGAAGGTGATGAAGGAAAATCAAGGAGTAGAAAATGCAATCTTTTCTTGTAGCTTTTTTATAGCAAAGGCATCCAGGGGCAGCCACAAGAAACAGTCCTTGTATTTTTAGGCAATACAAGCATCCAACTCATGACTTGCAAGTTTACTGTCATTTGAAGAATAATTTTATTAGTTTCAATGCCCTTTGACGAGAATTTGACCCCTTACAGCATCCCATCGTCAAATCACTCAGAAATCTCTTGTACCCGGTCATACTAGCTACATTATTCGTTTATTCTTCTGTACCAAATTCTTTTTATAAGCCGCGAAAGAAAAGAGCCATAATTTCCAGTAACAAAAACTGCGTATCTCCTGCCCATTTTCCCATCCAATATAATCTTCGCATTGCTCAAAGCGTCTTAAATTCTGTCGTCTGAACTGCTGCACATGTAATCTGCACTTGTAATCGCACCAGTTATACCACAATTTAATACCAGATTAGTGAGTCAATGAATAAGAATCTTTTGGATTGTCTTTATCGCCTGCCTGAATTGTGATGAATACAAGCTTGTGTTGCCTTAACCAATGCACACGTTTCTACTGTAGGCGACCTCTGCGAACATCAACGAAGATTTTCAGGATAAATCATAGAAAGAAGTAAGTTATTATTTGTTAAATTTTGAATGATACTGTCTTGCATTAAAAAGGAGTTTTTTCTGTAAGATTGCAAAGCAAGCAAATTCCTTGGTTGCTCCATTGACACTTTCGTTTATTCTTGTGATATCCTTATGTATATTTTAGTTATAATGTGCTGAATCACCCAGTTTGTTTGACAAACCTAGACGAAAAATAGATTGCAGATGTTATAATGGGATTATGTTTGCCGTAATGTTGTGCTGGTCTGAAGAAAAACTGTATGGAAAATACATGTAATAAGATGAGGAATGTCGCACCAAAAAAGACTGTGGTAGGACAAGTGGGTAAATAATTGAAAAAATTAGAAATGGTATCAATATTAATGCCTAATTGGTTCATTTATTCTAAGAAACTGGCTCTCACCAATAGATTGAAGGTTGAAATTCTGAGCTATAAGAAGATACATAGAGCCTTGACAGGCTGCCGTTACTTTTCAAAGCTGGCTTGAACTGGTACCAATGGGTTTGGTGCAAAGAGCTAGTGGAGGCTAAAGATTTTTTTCTTCTTGATATTGTTGTTAACGAACTTTTCCCGAAAGTCTTCTTGATCTCATAGAAGCTCTACACTGATTCTTGCATCTTTTGCTTTTCTTTCCTCTAAAATTTCTGTTCAGTTACCCTGAGTCCAATGCACAATACTGGGTTGAAATAGATCGTAATTGTCATTTATCACCCTTGGCCTGAATATTTCTATCCATGTTCTCTTTTCATGCCCACGAGTATTCGAGAAACTCGAAACATTTGAATAAAAACACGAGATTTTTCCTACGCGGCTAAAAACAAACGATATCAAAACACTTAGTCCATTTGTTGTGAGCGAATCCTGTTAATGCGAAGGCGGATTAGGCTACTGCCTGCAGCTTCATAACCTCTACTTACATCAAACAAACAAAGGGTTTAAGCAAATGCCTGCTGTACAAAGAGAAGATTTTTAACCGATGTCGTCATAACTTTGTAAAATATTGAAACTCTTAGAAAGCGGTAAGATTGAGTCAGCCCACCTTTATCACATTGAAATAATAACGGTTTTTATTTTCTCATAAAGATGCAATTTAACTAAGCATCGAATCATTATTTCATAAAGTCCCACTTCGCTCAGGTCCCATAAATAACGCAAACGTGGATGGCAACCAGCAAGAACGAGACTGAATGAAATTGAGGCTAGGATCAACATATCTTTTATTGTTCTGTACATCAAGCAAAATGTCTGAGACATACCTTCCTTACTTTTTCACTTTCTTTCCATCTTTTGTTTGATTGCAGTATCAATTTTGACGAAACTTTTTGAATGCTAATTAAAAGGTGCCAGTTTATTACTGTCAAGGCAGCTGAAAAAATGTTAGATTAAAGAAACTTTGAGATAAAGACTAAAATTTAAAACGCTTGCAATTTATAAGATAAAATCGGCGAGTTTTAAATACAAGAGGTTTAATATTTAAGGAATTTCAGTTCTCGCAGTGTTTATTTGACTTTTTTCATGTTCTTAAGTTCAAAGATGTAACGCTCGAATTTTCAATAGGCTACAGTAATTCGATTTTGGTTAAACGAGTTCTAAAAAACCTTTTTTACTGGTATGTATAAGTATAAGACCCAAAGTTGCAACCCTTTTGATCAATGTCAGAAATCTGTCTGTAGTTGTTTTCAATAGAGCTGGGCTGAAACAATGCCATTTATTTCTTTTTTAGTGTTCAAGCCAAGAAAAAGACTCTTTAGTTTAACTATGTCTTGAAATAAATATGGATTCAAAACCAGTTTACTTCTAATGAATGTGTTTACTTCTTTGACACATTTGTAAAAGCAACCAGCCTTCTCGAATGCATTCGGAGCTTGTTGAGCCTTTCAATCGATCTCTCGGACTTTTAGGTAGCAGAAAATTTCCGCATTGTACGAAACAGTATATTATGCAACTCAAAAGTATAATAACAAATCCTGTCAGATACAGTGCAACATTCATTTAAAGGTGACCGCTGGGACGTGGCCATTGTCTTTAAGGTACTTTTACAATTATTTGACCGTAATAATAAAGAAATGAACTGAAATTTTTGTCTGTTGTTCGGGGATGTCCGGTTAAAGAGTTTCACAATGATATCGCTGGTCTGTACATTCAATCATTCTTTTTTTATGCGAAGAAGTCTCCAAGAACTTATTCAATCCAATAGGATTGCATTCATCTTTGTTCTTCAGGCCAACTACCAGACTAAGTTTGCATCCCTTTGAATACTTTTCTAGCTAGGGCTTCCTATTCCACTTTAATATATATCGTGCTCTGAGTGTCTGGTCCTTGGGCACTGTACCACGACAACAAATCAAAACCTAGACTTGTTAGTTAAAGTTTATGTATACATAAAAAAAATTAATGAAAATCACTGTTTACTGGTCTGTCATAAAGTGCTCGATGCGCTATTTGGTGTATAGAGCAGGACAGTTCTAAGATGCTACTTCGAGATTCACGCTTAATGCGATCATCAGGCAAAAATAACACGCAGAATACTTGGAGGCTATTCGTCGAGCAGAATGTTTTCCATTATTGTGACAAAAGTTCCCTGGTTCTACTCATTTAATTTCTCATCTAAAACCTAGTGCCCATTTGATTAAAAAGCTCATAGAAAATTACATGAAATCCATTCTTTGTGCTGACTGATAACCGTGACACTTCCATACGTTTTTCCTAAAGTGCAATCAAACGTCTACGTTAACTTTACCTTACTTTCAAGGCTGTTTCAAGTAATACTCAAGAACCCAGTCATGACGTCACTGAGAATCAATTCATTTTTCGCGGGAGATGATCGCGCAGTGCCTTTTTTATAAGAGAAAACTGACTTTTAAGAGATTTCTGCTTACGTTAGACATAAATTATAACCAGGATTACATTTCCTACATTGTTCAACCACGTCATAATTTTGGCAGGTTTTCCAAAGATTTCTTCCTCTTATAACATTAGTAGGATTAAGAGGATGTCGTTCAGTAATTTGTTGTTGAATTTTTAAAATTTTTAAAGGCATTAAGCGAATTCACGTGTAAGAAAAACAAAGCACTTAGGTAAGGCTTCTGGCGACCTGAAAGAAGAAATATCGTAGGTCAGTTCCACTAGATGCTAAATTAATATTTTTATGCGAAAAGTTGAATTTACTTGCCGCTCTGTTTTTCATCATGAAATAAATTTTGTCAACTGGTACTGGCTTTCACATATAGTGAGCTGTAAAGAGTATCTTAGGTTTTGTGTTACTGTATCCAATGTAATTTATGGTGTTTGGCACTGTGTACTAATAATGTTTCAAGATGATTTAAAAATTGAAGCTTAAAATAGTACAACGGTAACAGTTTTTCAAATTCTTTGAAAAAGAGCGTAGCAGCTAATTCTTGTCATGTTTTTGGGTGCTGTCTGTATCCCAATGCATAGGTGTTCTCACGGAGGACCGATTACCTTTATGTGCAAATTTCATTTCTCCTTCATTTCAATTCCACTTTATACCAACTAGTTCCTGAATTCTTTCTTTGTTGCATTAACCATAACGACACGGAACTCGTACTGCATTGCATGCCGCATCTTCAGTCGTAGAAAATTCTCACCCCAACACTTAGGATGCGGTTACTTACGTTTTCTTTGGCAAATTCCTTAATTTGCTACCTAATATCTTAATTTATTTGATTCCTATTGCGGCTTTCAAGGTAATTGCCTAGATTTATCTCGTTTAAATGTTGATTATTATTTCCTCGATGTATTCTGACGTTTGCATCTAGACAGTGTTGTATTTTCCTACGCCATAAGCGATGTAAAACTTTCCACCGAGTATATACACATCATATAGACTTGCTTTTAACTGCTTCATCCCTCCAACTGTTCTTGCAAGTTAGTAGAGAGATTGGGTTTCAAGTTGAAGGAAAGGAATCCTAGAAAGTTTGTATAAAAATAGAAACTGAAAAATGTTCCTCTGCCTTTATGTTCTAAGCAATTGGACTAATGAAGGTATTTTATCAATGAACGATTTTAGCCAGACAAAGAAATAATTTTCCAGAAATTTAATCTTACATTAGAAATATAAATATTCAAGAACATACTATCAACTCGAGGCATAGATGATGAGATCGAGGTTGGGACGCTTCCTGCAGGAGCGAGGTCAAACAAATTTTCCTATAGGGCATCTTCTATGTCTTAGCATAGTCATGGTGTGGTTGGATGAGAAGTAAAATCGACACAAAAAGATAAAAATGATATTGTCAATATTTTGTTTACCATAGAGAATTTTTCTAGTCAGGTAAAATTTTTGCAAGCTATCTTTAGTTTCAAGCCCCTTTTTTCTCTTTAGACATAAAAGTATTTCTCTACTTTCCTTTTTGACATGGCATATCTTTTCATTCTTCCCGAATAGCTATTTAAACGTGATGATAGAGATTTCCGAATTCTCAGTTCCGAATACTCACTGCCAGTGAATAGTACGTTCATGGAATATGACGTTCTTTGTTGAAGCTTGAAGGCTATCAACAGATTTCAAAGTGGCTTAAGCCGACTTACAATCAACTATTAACTAACCAATCATCATCTATAGTTCTAAATAACGCTCACTGATTGGCCAATTGTTGGATTAAGCCATTTAAGTATCTGTCGACTGCCTTAAAGCGATGTAGTCTCATTTTGCCCAAACAGTTTTCAAAATTATGCTTTCACATTATCACAATAGAACTTAACAAATGCCATGTATAATCCTTTAGCGTGTAAGGGCGAGGTCTAGCATGCAAAAGACTGTTCTTTCTCGGGTTTTCGGTAAAAAAACCGAAATGTTGATTTTGGTGCGAAAAGTCCATTCAAAGAATTATGACGCCAGCGTTGTCGGACAATAACTTAGAAAAATATTTTAATAGCATGTTGGTTATTAGCTTTTTGCTTGATATAGAAAGCGGTGACAAAATATAAACGGAATCAAATCGATGTATTTTTAGTCGGATTTTATATTGCTTTTTATATTTTATTATTATCATATTGCGAATATAATTTGCTAGCTGCCAACTCAGTCTGTTTTTGTTCTTTGTTGACTTTTGTTTAGACTTTCATTTGCTAAAAACACGTATGGAAAGTAAAACCAATTCTAAATTGATGTGCGATAGATGTTTATATTTACGCTTAACACATAAAAACTCTTTTCTAGATGTTTTCGCTGTGTGTGCTAATAGGATCTGAAAATACTTCTCAGGTAAGTTGCAAAACTTTTTGACGATATGTATTCATGTTGAACAGGATGGTTTCAGTTGCAACTCTAAGTGGCCTCGTGTTCTTATTAAGCGTAAAACACGGAGTTGCAACTAAGAATCATTCCGTTCAACATACAAATTAGTTGCAAAGATCTAAGATTAGAGTAGTTAAATAATGGCTTTGTACATTTGAAAGAAAACGTTACAAGCATAACTCTTCATTAGGTAAAAATGAGGATTAACGGTTAAAAAGAGAATATAAGAGTAGAATCGTGAGATTATCTTTATGGAACGCAGTAGGAATACAACGTAGAATTCAAGAAGAGGTAAAAATATGTGAGGGGGTAGAAAGCGTATAGATGAGATGGATGAGATTTAAAATAAAAATAACTGGATTAGGAAAGATACGAAAATTGTTTTGTAAGACTAATAGAAATATAAATATAAAGCTTTAAAAAATATGTTTTTCGAGGCTTTTTCGTTGTTTGTTTCATTCTTAGCCTGTTTGTTTCATCGTGAAGCGCCAAAAGACAGACCTGTAAAACAGTAATTTTTATTACGTTATGGTTAATAAGCCAATTCATAGCCTTATCACTTCAACAGTAACTTCATTTACAACTTCAACGTTTTTGATCTTCTACATTCAACCGTGTAACTTTACTTTCAACCACTGTGGTATTAAGAAAGGTTTCAAAGCGTTCAAATTTAATGTAATTATGATAAGTAGAGAGAGGGTTTGCAATTGCAAGTGAGAGACTACAAAGTTGTTTAGAAGAATGGGAAAAGGTTTAGTCTGAAATCTTGCGAGCTATTTTGGATTTTAGAAACTACAAAAGAAGATAAGAGACTGCAAATGGAGCTTGAAGTTCTGTTGCATTTGTCACACAGTTGTAAAATGAGTCATCATCCCTCCAGAATTCAGAAAACATTAGCTGCTTTTATGTTTCACAGTATGAAAACCTTTTGTGCCAGAAGTAGTATGATTAACTCTGAGTTGACAAACACTTCGTTTCTCTGTCCAATGCATGCACAATGAGGTAAAAATGTGCATGCATGGCTCCTCTCTTTCTCAGTTATATCCTGATCTGGATCGAGATTACCCAGCAGGAGAGAGGACACAAATGATTGGCTTTAATTTGGCCAATCACGACCCACAAAACCTTTGACTTCTACGATAACGGTGGGACGACAATCCAAGCCTGAGTCAAAAGCAAAGGGTTACTAACACTGAACCACATTAGAGAGACCTCTTTGTAAATTAGAAGACAAAATGGTATCATTGTTTGTTTGGTGAAGCATATACTGAGTGGATTTCGGCTACCAACTTAGCTTTGCATCGTTCCCACGCTTATTCTCGATGTGCTCAACGGTTAAACAATTTCACCCTACAAACAAGCAACAAAAACTTCTTGTAAAAACTCAAGGCAAACAAACTGTGCAACTTTGTACGATATTTTCGATTGCTGCGAACAAAGTTGTATACCAGTGGATTAAAAATTTGATCTATGCAGTGATTAGGTTCCATATTCAATAGTTGACAATCATATCGTCCTCCATATTCAATGGCATAAGAATGCCCCGGCTAGCAATAGAGCTGCAGGTCGCCACTGCATTCTTTTCAAATCCAGAATCGTATTATATCTGATTAGAATCCTACCTAAGCGTTTGTTTGTCGGTTTTCATTTTGTGTTTCCTTGAATTTTGCAAAGACAGACTTCTTTTAACGACTTTGGAGAATTTTTGCAACATTACGGTAAGTTGGAACAAAATCTTTTTACAGCTCATTGCATAAGACTCTTTTGATTTGGGAATGCGTTTTATAAGGATGTAATCATCAACCGATAGACGTGGAAGTCTCAATCAAAGTCTTCTGCCACTTTGTAATGGGAATTGTATTACGAACATAACTTTGATTAAGTCTATCTTTGCTTCTTTAATATAGGCCATACAATGACCAGCTTCCAATTTCCCACCACTAAAGTTCATCTTTGACTTCTAGACTTGAAAAGCTCCGAATATTTTCCTACCAAAAACCTTTATCCAGTCAGACACCCAATTGCGCTGATTGAAAGTATTAGACCACAAATAATTCGAAGGAACTAGGTTTGCATATAGATACCAGCAATGTTTTTTCACCAGTGACAGCATCGTTTTGATTCAAGTTGTTAAAAGCCTCAGTTAGCATCCATCTGCAATAGCCCCAACATTTAGATGTCGTGACAAAGTAGTTCCTGCTCAAAGGAGATGGTCCGTCTCCCATTCGGTACTAGATAAGTTCCCTTCAAACAATTTAAAAATTATTTTACATTCAACGTGTGATAGTTTAAAACAGGTATTTTATCGTTTATCGTTATAACTTAGATTTTGAAATAGGCGTCCGTTTCTATGGTTTTTTGGTAGTCAACGGCAGTTCATTTAGCAAATTGTTGACAACAGAAATTCCTTTCATCCAAGAGTTCTCTAAGCAAAATTGCATGTAAAGAAGAGGGACACCAATCCGTCCCTTGACGTTGGTCTTGCGTGTTGAACAAAGGTTTTTATATAGGCCTTGGTGTCTTAAGGAGTGAAAAGTTTTCTTAAATCAATTAGAAGAAAAATATTTTGGTGTATATTTTGCTGCAATTTTCACATAGCCTTCAAGGCTTGTTAGCTACAAATCAATCGACAAAAGCGATTGCAGCTTGTTTTTAATGGAAAGCCTGATCTGGGAGGGGTAAGCAACGAGATTGATAAACGAATTCAGCAGGCACGGGTCTCCACATGCAATAGCCCAAGACTTATTTCGCAACACAGGTGAACAAACAATTGGCTTTTCCAGATCTTTGGCGATAATCTATTTAAAGTTTACGCAAATTCTTTTCGGCATTAAGCCTGGTAATCCGTGGTTAAATTAATACTAACCGCTAAAATTTTCCAGAAATCTGCAAAAAAGTAGGCGTCAATAGAACAACGACTCTATTGGCAATCCATGCTAAAACTCGCTGCTTGGTTTTTTTAATTATATATTTACAGGTTTCCCTGCTACATAGCAATACAATGCATGCATCTCATAGTTCACTTGGTTAACAATCCTCAAATCTGGGGCCAAATGAAAAGTTCATATTAAAGCCAGGCTGGAATTTCTACATCATCAGCAAAGGCACCATTTTTTAAATCAACAAAGATAGATGTATTATGTATCAGAATTATAAAGCTGGATTGATTGGGCTTCTGTTTGCATGTGCAATTTTTGGGATAGATTTTCCTGCACGTTTCATTTTGAAAAAGAAAGTAGAGATAGAGGGAGTTAAGATTTGAAGCAGATATGATAAAAAGAAACAGATAGGACCTTTCTTTCTTAAATCTTCCGGGTTAGGTTTCTGTTAAGAAGGAAATTTGTCGAAAGTCATTATTAAAATGTTCAGACACGGGTATATCGAAAATATTGAAAATCTTTGCGGAAATGAATCTGAATGAAAATTAATTGCGGTACGTTAAGGCTTTTAGCAACGTGTAAAATGCAATTTTCTCGTTTTAAGCCGAATAAGATAAATTTTTTAACTATTAATTTTCGCTTTATATCAGATGTACGAAACTGTATTTTTGCTTTGTTTATTGTTTATTCACGATTTCCGTTTCCAGTTACTCAAAATTAGCAATGAGAATGAAAAAACGTGGGAATATCTAAGGAATTTCATTCAGGGGCTTTTCATTTTGAACAAAAATCTGTGTAAAAACTGGCGGATGCATCTCATTTGACTCCTGAAATACGTTACTGTTAAAGAAAGATTTAATGAAAGTGTGGGAGAAAGGTCAACGTCAACGAAGCTAGTTTTAACCTTCAGACGAATTTAGTTAGAAGCAAGCAATGGACCGCATAACTATCAACATTAGCACAGAAAACGAACATTTGCGATCAAAAAATTATTCTGCATAAATTTCAATATATTTATATGCATAATAAGCGTATAAATATGCTGTAGCTAGTTTTTAGAATTAGGCTTTTTGGTAGAAGCATTTAGCTGTTTGAGTCGCGATGCTGACAAAAGAAGTTCGGTGGCGCTAACAAGTACCCACAATGATAGCACAAACTCTAAATTATTGGACCTATATTGTGCATTTAGCTGGACCTATTTTATGGGAAATTTCAACAAATTCTCACCCTAATATGAATTATGATAACTCCACTGGGCCTTAACCTTTGATTTCCTTAGCCCTTTTTTTAAGAACTTGCTTTAATTTTTGGTTGGTGAGATTCCAAAGTTGAATATTATGTTTGCAGTTAAATACTTTAATGGGGAACATTTCTCTCATATGTAAAATCCTTCAAAATCTCTCAAGGCACGAGATTTTTTTACAAAAATGCTTATAAGGACCCTGGTTAAGGGAATGTGTTTTATCCTACATCCTTATTGGAGTCTACAAAGCTCTGCTGTTTCCACAAGACTGGCAGATCAGAATGCCTTATGGGTAAGGACCCGGAAATACCGTTCTGATAGCTATTTTGTTACTCTTTCATCTCAGGGAATGTAGTAATACAAATAACTTTTTTTGGGTTTTTTTATTTGTTTTACCAACCTCCTCCAATTCCAATGAATATCTGTTAGACCTGTTTCACAATACTGCTTAGTGCTGAGCCAAGGTCCACTGCCTCCAACTACTGCATCTATTTTCACTAAAAACCGATCTTGTTAACATTAAATTTGATTTTTAGTTGGGAAGCCTCTCTTGTACATTGATCACAATGATTAGAGAATTCTTCAGATAGTGTAATGAATCTTTCCTTAGGTTTTTTAAAGCAAAGAGTTTTATAAAGCAAAGAATCTCAATATATAGTTAGACTTAAAAGAAATATTTGTAGTAACAGCTGTTTTGCTCCTCACGTCTTTGCAGAACAACCCGTATTCTTTATAAAGTCAGGTGCAAACACAATCCTGCTGTTTAAACGTCTAAGTGCTTCAATGAAGTCTTCTCAGTCTAAATTTACAGTAGCCACAAGCATAAGAAATTTAAACAAATAGATATTTGCACCTTTATGGTCAAAGTTTACGCTGTTAATGCTGAATAGTCTTCAGCAAATTGCTAATTCTAATTGTCTGTTGCTAGCGTTCTTGTGCCAAGGGAACTATCCTATTTAGCTACAGTGCCATTCGGCGGCCATCTTGGTTAGTTTAAAAGGAATTAGCGATGATTTACAGTAATTTCTATACTTAATGAGGAAAAATACCCAGAAAGAACCGAGAAACTGTACAGAAAAGACACTTGAAACATTTTTACTATATGTAAATCGAGGGAGATCATCTATTTTACATGCCTATGTAAATGGTTTCCGACAATACACAATTCAAACGAAATGTCGTGGTATACTACACTAAATTTTGTAAATTGTAAATAGTCGCCCATGCCCCTCTCCGAGCAATGTAGTTTATGTAATTTTTACGTAATGTACAATCCAACTGATTTCTATAGACCGGATTTTAATTCGCTAAGGTAAATTTGATGCCTAGATATAAATGTCTAAAGGTATTTCAAAGTAAAGATGTAGCCAAGGCAAACAGGTTTTCGACCTCGTGTTAGGATTTTCTCATTTTAGTTTTTGCATGTTTATATGTTTTGAGATTGAAATAAGATAACGATTTTGTTGAATAATATATAGATTTACAATGATAGCTAAACAGCATATTTAGTTTTTCTTACACCTGAAAAATTATTAAATTTCCATTTTGCAAGGGTTCTGTTTTGGCAATTTAATATTTTTTGCTTTTTATAAATTAATGGTACGTTTCCTATCATCATTTTTGAAGAAAATTGAAGGAGATTTGTTTCTCATCATTATCAATAACTTTTTGTGGCACCCCAAAACTGATACAGGATTACAAAATCATTTCTATGTGGTGCACCTATAGGACGTGGCTAGTGTATCTATAAGTCGAATTCTATTTATATCTGGTGCTCATTTTATTTTCTAGGAATAGAGAGTGCATTTTCCAGTAAAAGCATACAAACAGGTCCTAGATGTGGAAGTCCAACTGAAGTAGAGTGGTAAGTTGTACTTTAATATGTTTTCGTATCTTCTCCAAATCAGTAAATTGGTTCGTAGTGCAGAAATGTTATATTTGCAATCATAACGTTACTTCTTTTGAGTTTTATTTGCAGCAATGATTACAAACTAGTACCTTATTCGAGCCAACACTTAAAAAGAGTTATCCGTATTTGTTAGTGCTTGCCTGGGTTTTGTATATGGTCATTGCCCGTAGATTCGAATCCGTAGATTAAATAGACAGAAATAGGTAGTTTTAAGAACTGGCTCTTAAATGCAACAAACAGCAGCTAAGTGCACCTTTTAATGAAATTATTATGATTGGTTAATTGATTAGTTAGAATTTTCAAGTAACAGAATAGAAGTTAATAACATATCGAGTTTTGAGAAAGTAACTAAATATTTTCTTCATAATATGCAACCATAAAAACCCAGAAATCGACTAAGATTCTATAAAACCTAGCCAGTTTCACTATTCACGTGACAAACGAAATTTCTTCCCTAAGTCAAATCTCTCACAAAAATCCAATTCAACAGGTACGTTGTGTGTTTTACTTCATCCAAAAAACGATAATGTAATGAGCGCATAAATTTAGTACCAGAATGAAATAAATTTAGTTTTGATAGTTTGATAGTTATCACCAGAATGAAATAAATTCTGTTTTGATAGTTAAAAGTAACTATCAAAACCATATTTGTTTCATTCTGGTACTCAGTTCATTCGCTCATTATATTATCAAATCGCTCATGCCTTCGAACAGAATTCCGACGTATCACAAGTCACGTGACTTGGAGCGTTAACCAATTTTTGTTTCATGGCAATAATGAAGCATTTATGATGCAGTTATTATTAAAGGATTTTGCTACAGTTATTTATAGTTAATTGAATAATTGCATTACTAGTGCTTCAGAATACTAATTACTAGTGTTATCATAACGCTCCAACTAGCTGTTTACAATGATTAAAATATTTAGTGTATTATTAGAATTTCGGCGACAGTGCTACACAGTACTGTAGTGTGTGTATATTTGTTCAGCCGACTCATATAGACACGAACATTATATATTTGTTCGGCTGCTGTGCTACAGCCTAATGAAGAATACGCCTACGAATTCAGTATCAGCAGCTATAAAATCACTCATCTTAAATCTTACGGCAACGCACTGCGCTAACTGGACACTGGGAAGGAGCATGATAGCTTCATGTACTAGATTTTCGAACAAGACATCGTACTTCGTAGATTTTTTGCGGAACATTTCGTTTATTGAAATCTTGTCCCAAGCTGCTTTATAATCCAACCAACAATATTCTTGTATTAAGCTTATCGGCTTATTTAATACAAGTAAATTGCTCAATAAAGTTCCAAAGTAATGATGAAAAAAAATATACATTTTAAGAATTCTTCAATTTCGACCATAGGTATAACCCGAAAAAGGTGTATGAATTATCTCTGATAATGCAAATTGGGATATGATCACATGAGCTCAGGTTCTTTTCTTGGTCTCTGCTCATAACATCATGAACCAGGCAAGAGCTGCGTAAAGATTAGCAAACTTGGGAACTTTCCTTGACCAAATCTCACCCAATTTTGAACATATTTAACTGATATTGCATTTAGGATGAATTTATGATGTTCTTACAGATTATGTGGTCAAAATCAAGAAATTCCAACTAAAGATTTTTGTTGTCGGCACATTTGCACTCTCGACACACTTAAAAGTCAAACAAATGCATTTTGTTTAAAAGCAGGGTTTCAAAACCACAGGGCCAGAAAAATTACGTTTTTAGACTTTAGGAGAGAGATAAAATTTATATGATGCCAATCTGAATGTTGTTTGACTATAAACATCTTTTGCTATCCTAAGACGTAATTTGTATATTGAAATACAATTTTATATAAAGCATTTTAAGATTTTTATAATTTTATTGATCACTGTTTCCCTATCATCCCTATCATATCTTGCACATTATCATATCTTATATCATTAAGGACCTAAACAAAGATCGAAGAAAATGATTATGGAAGAGACAATGTCTGTTTTATTCTTGTACGAAACCATGAAGTCCTGTAGACAAAACATAACCTCTGGTCAATTCATTTGATTTTTTATTGTCGTTTTGTCGGTTATCAATCAGTTTCTTTTTCATCTGTTTACCTAACACAGCGCACTTTTGCACACAGTTGACAAAGTTATTCACAACACTTTTACTTGAAACTAAATTTTGACAACATCGATAAGAATAGGAGCTAACAGGAAGAGGATGAACTTTGTTTGTAAACTGGACTTTTTAAAATGAAGTGATAAAATGAAAACATTTGTGATACACAAGCTTAGCAGATATGTTTCTCTTAAGTGAGATTTGAATGTTTTGAGCTGCAGCTAAAAATATTACAGTGGTTAAAAAATTTACATTTCAATATGGTTTAAAATAGTATTGGTTATCTTATTGTTTTGAAAATTTGCAATGTTATCTGATATTAATAGTCTGTGATGTTCGATTTTACAAATTAAACATTTTAAAGCAACCTGCAAAAGAGTTAACAAGTGACGATAGAATTCAGATGGGGTGTATCAACTAAACAGCTTATAGATGGCTCGAGAAAACGGTAGGTAGTGAATGTCACAGGGCCAGGCTTTCCACAGAACCAAAACGAAGTAATCAGTTGTGAATGATGTTAGCGATCTTGATCTGAAGATTCTATGCAAATTCTGTGCTGTGCAGATTCTATGCAAATTCTGTGCAGATTTGGTGCAAATTCTGTGCAGATTTTGTGTAAATTCTAGGCAGATGTAGATTCGTAGATTCATTTTGTGTAGATTCTAAACTTTTTTACGTTAGTGAAGAGACTGTCAAAGTTTGCTTATTATGTAATGAAAACTTTAGATAAGGCCTATGAGAAAAACCGTTGGTCAAATGGTTGACTTAGAACAAAAAGTTGTTAAAGAATCACAGTGTTGTTTTCTTTCCAAACCTTCAATAATAATAATATAATTTTTTCTTATTGGCCAGTTGAAGCATATAACCTTTTTCTGGGTTCATGTACCAAATGCAGAATCGCCCTTTTCAACAGTGTATACTTAGCAGTAGTGACCAGAGTTGTTGTTGACTCAGCGTAGCTTAAGAACCATATTTTGTAGCAACAACATGCATGTCCTTTTGAAACTACCAATGAAGAATGTTTTATTGTGTCAAACACGCCGGGACATTAATCCGAAGATCATCTTTGTTAAATGGCTGCATGCTGGCCATCTTGTTGTCATGGTAATGCATTCTGACTTCAATTTTCTTCTCGGAATCACGAAGACAGTAAATGGTTTGTTTATGTGTGAGTTTTGTTAAGGATTGAGGGGGAGTTTTCTTCCTGGAATACTGCTTCTAGATATCAGATTGTCGTGAATTTAGAAATGCTACTAGGACTTCCTCTTGGAGAGGTAAAGAATATTGAAATGGTATTTCACCGCAATATGTTTTATCGTTTTTTTGATTTGTTACTCATGAGATCATGGGATAATAAGCCAACTAGCCTTTCAGTCATACTGTATTCTGGATATTGTATTGCATTAGTGGTTTTTTTGGAAAACAGGAGCCTTTTGATAGCTGATAAGCCTGTCCTTTTTATCTCTTGGAGAATGAAACATTTTTGAACGTTTAGCCAAATGTTCGAAATCTTTTACTCAATCACTATTATGCTGTTTCTAAAGAAAAAACCAGAAAGAAATGACAAAAATGTTCCCGCGAAGCATATTGGATTTTTAGATTTGTACTGCGGTTTTGAGCCGCCATTTTGTTCCAAATTTTTATGGCATAGGAGTCCTTGGTTTCAAATCTCTTTTATCTAAGTGTACTGAATTTCGTTTTATTTTGAACTTAATCTGGTGTGCATTACTTATTCTCGACAACCTAATCTCGTTTTATACTACGAAACTGCTTTTTTACAATACAACTTGACGCTGTCATTATGGCTTGAAATCAACGGAAAAAATCAACGACAAAAGTCCTGGGATTGGCCTGCAGCATCAATCTTTTTCCTTAGAAAGTTTCTTGTCAAAAAAAGTTTCTTGTTAAAAGTTTCTAGTTCTTGTCAAGCCTCCCCCTCCAAGAAGCGTTAGTTTTTGAGTAAACCATCATAGCAGCTCGACAGAGGTCAACAGGACATCACCTGAGCTATAGGGCAATGTTTCTTGTAAGGGAAGAGGAGCATGCTTGTGGAAATTTGCAAAAATCTTGTGTTTTGACCAAGACAGTATACGAACTATGTAGAGGCACATCGCAAAATCTTCTAACATGCAGATGATTATCTACCCGACAACATTTTTAAGGATATAAACAAATGCGATACAATGTAACGATTTTTCTAATACCTGTGAAAGGTGTTTACATTTGTTTGATACTATACTCAACTGTTACGCTGCACATATCCTGCGTGCAGACTTTGCAAGCAAGGAAATAGACACCAAGTGCTGAAAGTTGATATATTGAAGAATCGGGAAAGATAGAGCATTGAGTGGGGTCAAGAGAAATAACCGCATTTGGGATTTGGAAGAAAATGTTGCTTTTTAAGCATCACAGTGCTACTTAGTTTCTTTGTGTCGCTCAGTGTGTCGTTCTTCAAAGATGTGGTTTTTCTTATATTGTTACCAGCTTTATACCATTTGTTTAACGGATTGGTCCGTGACTAAACCCATTGATACGTCTTTTAAATATCATTTCTCCTTCCTCTATTCATGAGTTCATAGATAAATTGCGTGACATTGTTGTGTTACTGTACCAGCTTTAGATTTATTATGGATATTACAACTTTTTGTAATCGTGGTTTTGTTTAACATGTACAGCATTTTAATGGGATGAAAGCATTGACATGTAATCGCATTCTAGGCAGTGTTATGATTACAACCGCGGCTCGAGTCTCGGTGGATAACACAGACATTGCTGATGCCCCGACGTGTGTACACATTTGCAATGCACAGTCGCTGAACAGTCAATATACTACATCTGAAATCCTGAATGGTGAGTAAGTACAACTAACTGTATCTTTTGCAACAATTTTTTTTGTACCAAACTGCCAAGGGAACAAACTGTCTTTGGAGGACATTTCATTTAAATTTGATAAGAATTCTTTGTAACCTCTTCCAGTGCAAGGCCCACGGAGCATATTACAGATTGAAGGGGCTAAAACGCTTTGAGGGGGCGAGACATGCTTAAAACCAAGGACAGGGCGATATTTTGTATAGTTCAAGGTACATTTTGGAAATTATTTGGGGGGCTAAAGCCCCTGAACCTCCCCGTCTTACGCGGTCCCTGTTTCTGTGTGTTTGAAGGCGATTAAACATATAAGAACAAAAACGGGTCCGATGCCTGATTTTCTTATAGACCCCGGTAATGGGGTGTGGAGCTCTTTTCCAATTCTAGCTATTGTTTTTTGATAACTTTTTAGATGGTTCACTTGTTCTGTTCAAAAGCTCCAAATCATTGCTTGTCGGGCGTTATACTTTACAAGAGTAGGTAAATGTTGGACTTGAAAGCTTAAAACTAAACTTTTGCAAGCACTTCTTCATTACAATTCAAGAGTGCAATGCCTGTCTCATCTACTAATTATTCCAATTGACCTTTGGCTCGAGAACGTTGTTTTGCATCGATTATCTTTGCAAACACACGATAGATAGATAGATTTATCTTCAGGCTGCGGTGTAACAACGCTTTCTTTGTCGCAAATTTTATCGACGTAACTGGAGGGGAAGCAAGAACTTTACAGAAATATGTTGGACGTGTCTTAGCAATCTTGTTAAAGATTTCTTTAGACTTTTGTTACATGCTGTTTACGTGCATGTCGGGAAAAGATAGCTGTCCTTCAAATAGGACTGATTCAGATATCATTAATGTTTTTATATTACAAGATTTACAAATCTTTTAGAAGTATTAACATTCCATTCCATTCTTAAAGTCTTAGAAGTAGTAATATTACCCGTCTTAAACAGGGGGAGAGGGCGTGGTCCAAAAGGGCGTGGTCTCTGACACACCTTTTGTTCCCTCCAAATTATCCCAGGCTGGAGCCGCCCCTGGTGCCTGGTATATGGTATTACCTAAATGTAGCATAAGGTACCTGAAGATCTGGATGGGATAAAACAGTTAGAGATAAAATGGTTGGTTATGATATAACGATTATTCATTGGAAATTGTCGTTTTCCATATCACAACTAGGGACTTTACAGAGTCCCTTTCATTTGATAGGATACTTTTTGATACTGCATGCAGATACCTTTTGCAGAAGCTTTAAATTGCTTCTATAACCACTAAAAAGATATTCTGCAAGAAATTTTTAGGCTGCACGGATTATTATCGTGAGAGAAAATTCTCAAAAACACATCTTTTGTCTTCTGATATTGCAACGGATGCTTGACATCAAGCCTCCATGCTCCTACAAACCATGTTCTTTTATGGAAATAAAAATATATGTTAAATTTTCTTGTGGTTTATCCCATGCACAAAATTAACCAAAATATTGTCATCTCCCCTCAGATGTACAAAGAAGTGTTTTGTCTCTCTTCAAAGGGTTCAAGGGACAGCTGGGCGACAAATGCCAAAATACTGCGTCTTTAGGAACCGATTACCTTTGTCATAGGTCAAGTGGGTTTTACCACAACCCATAGTTCATCATTTTGTTTCAAAAGTTTGATTGATGTATTAAAAATTCTTCAAGATCATTGATAGACGCTTTGTGTCATCAACGATGGTATGTTATGAGATTTACCACCGATTGGTTGCATCTATCGAAAGTGCTTGGTAGGAAAGCGTCCTCTTTATAGCAAATGTGAAATGAGGACAAATTGTGCCAAAAGAAAAAAGGCATCATGAATAAAAAAAATTGTGCATTGTCAATGTGTACATTTGGAGAAAATATTGCCCTTTGGTATCACCGGTGTCCCCCAAGATCCCCAAATATCCCCTGGTATCTTCCGGTTCATGCACCTTTGCTGAATTGCGTTTTGGACTTGACACGGAAGAACATTCCATGAATTTGGCCAACAAGTCTCCCTATCAACTATATTTCCAAGGGTATTTGCTCACATTGAAAGATACCCTTGTCTAAGCAAAACACCAGCAGGGCTCAGTTTTTTTGCTGCCACATTGAGCTGGATATTGAACAGCTGCAACAACTTTTACTTCAAAATTAAACACTGGAGCCGTATTGTCGAGAATTTATTTCACAATAATCAACATTAACCGCAATAATGTCAGAAAATATTACAGTAAATGCTTTTATTTAAACACATAAGTTTCAATTATACCCTTTTTGTTGCTATTAGAAATACTGACGCCGTTGGTATTTCCGACATGCACCTAAACAAAACAATCCTTGATGAATTTAACAAAACATGTTTTTTGTTTAGGTAGTCAAATTACAGATATTGAGTCCTTTTATCACTCCTGTTGATTGCAGGAATTCAGGACCCTTCAATGGTATTACGGAGTTGATATTTTTGCTACCTTTAGCTAGCGTTATTGCATTTTATTTGTGTAAATAAGCCCATTGATTCTTTGATTCTTTTTGTCAAGGGAAAATTTTTATTGCCACGTAAATGCTATTTGCAAGATTCTAGCAAGCTATCAATCTACTTAGATTAAGTTGTATTCCCCTACTTCGAGCACTGCTCAAATATACGCTTTACTGAAGTAAAGTGTTCCAAGCATTCAAACAGACTAACAGCTCTACTAAACAGTCCAAACCTCTATAAAGCTCAAGTTATTTTTCAAATAAATGCAATGGAGTAATCCTTAGCCACCAATTTCATCTAAAAGGCAATACAGAGGCGATGCTGGGATAGTTTGTTGTAAGAGGCTAATCACTCTATGAAAATCTCGTACACCTTTGGTTGAATTCCAATGGTTCCATCTGAAAATCCCTGGAAATCCTTGGTCTTTCTGTAAATATCGTGGTTTTTCAAGAGTGAACAGCCCCTCCGTTTGTTGCGATTGAATTTGATGGTTTCAGCTATTCTCTCTTCTGCTTGAATTTAGAGTTATTAATTCCACTACTTTCAACAATGCGGCCTTACCTAAAGATTCTTAGCTTATAGCTGTATCATAATACATATCCTATTATCAAAACCTCTAAAATCAATTGAAGATTACGGTCAATGAGCAGAAAGATGCTAATTGTCAAAAAGTAAAGATCGCATAGAAAAATAGTAAAGATCAAACTAAATATCTTGAATAAAATATTTGTAGGCAAATGTCGAACAACCGAAGTAGGAGACATAAAAATGAAAAATCTCTGTATGCGCTGCTGTGTTCCAGGTCAAATGTCAATTTATTTAGTAGGAGAAGTATTCAAAGGATAAGGGTTCTCCTACTAAACCACTATGCCAAAGATTTTGACACTTGTTCTGGTGTTGCCCTCCAAATGTCAATAGAAGAAATTTGGGCATAAACACCTCAGTCGTTTCCTTGTCACCTTGAAAGCAAAGTTCTTGTCCCGATGTATAAGCTATAATACTCAAGGTACCAAAACCCACATACATTCGAGCGCTGAAATGAAAATAAGAGTGGAGATGCAAAGGGACTTCTCACAAATACACTACATACACATTATATATTTTGTTACTTTTAAGAAAGACCAAGGCAATGAAAAATTCTAAATTGGCTATAAAATGAATGCATTAGTTGTTATTTTGCAAAATATGTAACCATTTAATTTCTTGAGTGAGAAGGAAGAACCGCAGGATAGGCTGTCCACCGGATTCCGTGAATCTTGCAATGAGTATAATATAAATCCGAAGATAGAATTCAGGGACAAAGCAAAATGGCAACGAGAATCCAATGTAATAAGATAAATTTTCAAGATGAATTAGATCAAACAAATACTAATTTTTCGCCCCGGCATACAGGGCTTAATTTCCTTTCTTGTTTAGCTTCACCAAACAAAAATTGTCCAACATTGCCCATCCAAAAGTTTGTTGCTCTTCACCGTTGAAGGACATCAGATATTGTGTTGTCTTTAGGATTGATTGCTGTCGCTCTATTTGCGACAACAGTTTTTGTATTTGGATGAAAGGGCTTACCTTTCACAGTTGCACCCTGGGCTAAAGGTCTCTTCTATTGGCTTTTAATTTCGATTGATTTTGATCTATGTGTTAAAGGTGACCATTGTGGAATATGAGTTACGTGCCCTGTTGTACATTTTGTCTCAAGTGTCAGAATTTGGGTGCCCATTTAATCGATATGTGAATTAAAATCCAGAATGACCCTCTGTTGCGAAAGTTTCGGTTTACTTGTCGTGGGCCCATTCAAGAGACTGGGTTTCTAGATTCAAGAAATTATCTAAGACCACAGCTTATCAACACACTTTATGCAATAATTTTTTTGATTTTCACAGGCATGTGAACCGTTCATGATGTCGATGGAAGACGAGGAAGTCGTGTACTCGGGACGAGTTAAATTCAAAGTCGGCCTAATAAGTAGATGGTCTACGGTTTTCTGCACTCTGTGCGAAGGTCTTCTACGTGTTCATGAAAGTCCGGACTCAAGTGCAGATCCCATTCACTGTTTTATGAGCAGCAGTAGCTGGATATCCGCTCAACGAGCTCAAGCGAATACTTTCTTTGTTTTGAATGAAACTGATCCAAACTCAGTTGGCTCGAAAATATTTCTATTCGATACAGAAAGTGCTGATTTACTTCATTTATGGCTTCACGGATTCAAAAAGGCTGGTTGGTCGTCAGCTATAAAGGGAGAAAAGCTTAATTATCGTACGCGTAATAATTCGGGACCTAATAAAGCCTATCGTGAGTCCGGATTTGGTGGTAGTTTAAGGGGTACAAGGAGCCAATCAGAACCTACATTTTTTGTGACCGGTCGACCGAAAATGGGTGGTGATGATATAGACTTGGATAATAGCTATCGCTGGATTGGGCCTAGAAGAAGAAGAGCGAATTTAACTTCTGTTTTTTCAGATATTGATATTTCAACAGAATCGTATGCAGAAGAAGCGAGCAGTCAGACAAGAATGGACCTGAATATGAGAAGTTACGAAACAGAAATAAACGATCGCATCCATACCGGTGAAAGAGCAGAAGGCTCATCCACTACTTATCTTCAAGGTGGTCGGAATGTTGACAAGTCGAATGAACGGGGAGCAGGTGGAAATGGCCGAGGAGAGAACGGAGAGACAGCGAATGAATCTGGGCATTTTGGTTCTCTTTCCAAGGAGGAGGACAGTGTAAATACCTATGATATGCACGTTAATTTTGTAAATCGAAATAATAGTGAAAATATCGAAAATACAACTGGTAACAAAAGACCAGAAGTCAGTAAACATCATTCAGAACCGAATATTTCAAAAAGTTATTTGCGACCATCAAGACAAGGGCGTTTCGATTACTCGAGAATTTTCTTTGATCCGACTTTGTCACCAGACATGAAAGGGAAGCTCATGGAAGCGGAAAGTAGGACCCGTAAAACATCAGTGACAAGGAAAGGAGAACATATTCGGCTATCGGAGAGTGACGAGCACGATATAGCAGAACAAGCAGCAAGCTCGTCCTATATAAATACTGAAAAAAATGAATCAGCAACCACACTGGAAGTTACGAATGTAGATACTGGCGAAAAAGAAAGACTTAACGACAATTTACGACAGCGTAAATGTAGCAGCGTCGCATCCGATGGAATCGCTGATTTGAACGTCGATGTCGATGGCGATTCGAGTGTATTCCATCCAGGTATTCAAGGTTCTCCCATGTCATATCTAGAAAGCGGGTATTGTTCAAAGGAGAGTTTATCAACCAACGAGAGCTTGGATCAAAGGAAATCGTCAGTGAGCAATATTGATGAGATCAACAACAACAACGATGAGAAAACTGAATTGGAAAATGAAGCAGAGGTATGTAGTTGCAATCACTTTTTATAAAAATTGAACATTCTGGAGTTAAATTGTGAAAATGGCAGTGGCATAGAAAAGCTGTGAAAAGTCGGGAAGGGGAGCTGGGGAGAATTAGAGGGGGAAAAGGAGAAGTGGGAGAGAAGGGAAGTTGGGGGAGAGGAGGAGGTGGGAGAAGGAGAGGTGGGGAGATAGGGAGGTGGGAGAGAAGGAGAGGTGGAGGAGAAGGGGAGGGGAGAAAGAAGGGGGGAAAAGTAGAAGGTTTATGGGAATGAAACAAGGAGGAAGAAAGCTAAAAGGAATAAAGGAAAAGGTAGAGTTGCTTGATTTACGATCAAAGCTATAAGACAACGAGTTTTTTGTGTAGTGAACATTTTCACCTTGTCCTCTGACTTACATATCAGGGGATGTCGTGTTTCTAATAAAAAATATTCTAATCGTTAACTTGAACGTGCACTTTTATTGGTAGCCATAATCGAGTTTTAAAGAGAAGAAAACCCATCCCTCTCTGTACACATTTTCTTTTACAAGTGATACGAAAATTCGTCTGAACATCTAGTTATCCAAGAAATTTAGAATATGATTTAAAATCTACGAAAAACAAGATTATCTTTGCTTTAATGTTGTTTTTAATATTTGACTACCCTCTCAAATAAAATTTCTTAACTCCGCGCAATTTACATACTTTTAAAACAACGAGCACAATATACTAATAATCAATCTTGTAACAGCGTCTTAGTCTAATTTGTCTGTGCTATTGTCAAGGCATTTATCCTTTAAGCCACTCGGTCTATGCCGAATAAAATGCCAATATGCCATCTATATCCTTTGATAAAAATAAGTATGCTTGTCTGCTCAATCTGCTTGTGTGAAGTAGTCCCTGTTATACTCATCAGAGTTTTATTGTGGTTTATCGACGCTCGAAATTGGAATCCCAATTCATTCCTAATTTTGTTCAAAATAAAAATTTCGCTCTGCCATAACTACATACCTGCCGAAAAAGTTTGTTTGCAACGGTATCGGTTTCTTCTGAAGTAAAGTTTTTGAAAAATCGAATATGTTTGAAGTGAGATAATGTAGCAACAACAAGATAAAGCAACAACAAAAATGACAGCATTAATAAAATTAATATCAACAACAAATGTTAATTAAAGAAAATATTCGAAAAATTGTTTAAGTAGGTGTCCTCCGCACGAAGATTTTGGTAATTCATAAATAGGGTGGCCGAATGAAACATTTTATGTCGTCTCTCTGACTTTTTGTCATCGAAAGATAACAGTGAACGTAATTTCAAGAACTTTAATCTTGCAATGAATTGTATACTGGAAATTTTTTACGGTTAACATGTTGAATGCTCATTGATTTCGTATCCTTAAATACGTGCCTTTCATTTATATGACTTTCTGTCCAGGTCGCGATTGAGCCGATGGAATCACAACAAATTTACAATCAGCAACATGGTAAGTTCCTTTTTCACTTGTCATACTCCTCCTCCTTCAGTATCTTTACCACTTTAAAAACTTCAAAGGCATAGGTCCAACGTTATTGCCTTTTATGTTTGATTTTCCTAATAAACTAACTTCGGGGTCAGTCACAGTGGGAAATATTGCTGTACACTTTTGCATGCTTTTCTGTATACAGCAAGGTACAATCTGTCTTGCTTCCCATTCAGTACTCAATTTGAAAGAAAATATAGTACAGTTTGACAAATATTAGGGGATCCAGCCCCCTCCAGCCCTTCCCGCTTCCGACGGCCGTGATCTTGATCTGTTTATCATATTGTAACTATTGGCTTTTGATTTCGTATACGAGTTACTTTTGTACTGAATCTATTTATGTTTGGCCCGAATTCATCCACAAATCGTCTTGATAAAGGATAATTTTCCAAAAGCAGAACCGGCAAATCGTTCAGCCTTCGCTAATATTTTGATTGTTAAATAGTTGCTATTGATTATAAACTGACAAACTTTTAAAGTAAACGAAAATCATGCTTAAGTTATTTTATGTAGATAGAAATAAAGCTATGGCAATAAACCAGCAACATTTACCTTTATCCAATTGCGAAAGATAAGGTTAGTAATTAAAAGACTGAATACATTGACTAGATTTAATGATTTAATCTTCTCGTTGTTATAACCATACAAAAACAAGACACAGAGTCAACATCGCCCAGGGTGTCATAATTGGAACGAGCTTCTGTATCCACTTATTTTGATGGACGTTTTACCTAGATATTTGTTCCAGATGATGTCACAATTAAGCAACAAGAACTGTGATCTTTTGTGAATTCCAAAAGACGTATGATATTTATTTAGTCGATTGTCATTGACTCCTTCAAAGTAACTTCACTCTGACGAAAAAGCTCAGGGAAAAAACAAAAATAAAGACAACTGCCTAAAAGCCCAATTTGCTAGTTTTGGGCACGTTTTTGTGTCAAAAAGATAACGCTAAGATTTTTTCTGTGGCATCCACCAACAGTGAAGGAAATTAAGGTTTTCGTTTGGAGGGTCTCAGGCACAAAGTTGTCCGAAAAGAAGAACGGGGCGTCCCCAAGACGCCCATAATTTCAGCCACCGTCCATCTCTATCTGAAGCTAAACACGAGTAAGATCAAATTGCTTGGTAGAAGATCATTGAACTTAGGCCAATTTGTTAAAGTATGTTCAATTCAGTCATCCATTTAACTACCATAGAAACTTTTCAGCAAAACAAGAATGATAGTAATTAGAATTTAAATGTCCATCAAATTGCAAGAGTCTCCATCAAAAGTTGCAGAATGCCCTGCATTCTAAAGCTATATCATTAGAAATCTTGATGGACTTTCTGGAATCACCACATTATAAAAAGGCACTTGCTGCCCTTTTAAGGATGAAAAATACTATCATTCACGAGGCACTGAGCCATCAAAACGAGGCACTTCGATAATTTCCGCCGAATGTAATTGATTTTGCTTTGAAGAATGTAAAATCTCAGAGAAACCATTATCGTGGCTAGGAGAATCTTCCGCATTCTCTAAAAGGTTCACGGTGACCATAATGACACTACCCTTGTGTCATTTCCACACGAGAACTCCTTTTTTTTATCAATGCTAGTGGAATCCATGATAAATGTCAATTCAATTAAGCATATGCTATATTTATCATTTCAGCCTTGTTATGATAAAGGTCATTCGATTCAATGAGTTGTTAAAGTTTTTGATCACAAATATTACAGTTTTCGTATCGCTGTTGATAGCTCAAAATGACTTTAAATCTAGCACCGTGCTCCTACAATCATTTTTAATAAGAAACAAAGGTCGATGTTGAGTACTCCAGTTTCTTAATGTTCTGGAAATTTCAATACTCATTGTTTTTCGAATTTTTTTTATCATGATGTCATAAATGATGTCATGAAATATTCGTGACCTTTTTTATCACGTCAAGAGGTTTGCTTCCGCTCTGATGCTGTATTTAGATGTGGGAAGTATATTTTTATCCCTTGTTTGTTAAGTTTTAAGCCAACAGGGCAATCATGTTTTTGAATTTTACAAAATTTCGTTGTTCTCAGTTTTATAACGATTTAATAGTTTCTAAGTTTCTTGCCTCGAGTACTGAAGTTTCATAATTTTTTCTGACCGCCCAGTACTCGTTTCTTATAGCCAGTTTCTTATTAAAAAAATGAGTGTATTCTGTCACATCGTGACGTAATATGTGTAATTTCATTTTGAATTTGAAATCGATAAGGACATTTTCTTTTTCTCTAAACATCCGCTCTCTTTTATTTGTCACTGTGGAAAAGGGGGCACTGCTCCATGTTTTTGTCTCAAAGTTTTTTTTGAGGGCTCCTGCTAGGACAACAAAAAACCACTCAGTGGGGGAATTGGTTTTTAGCTAAGTACTAAGCAATCAAGAAATGAAAAATAAGAAGTCAGCATCAGGGACCGCGGACGCGGGGTGGGGGCTACGGGGGCATTGGCCCTCGAAATATTTCCAAAATGTACTTAAAACCATACAAAAATCTCCCTTGTTTTGATTTTAAGAATGTTTAGACCCCAAAAATTTTAGCCCCCACAATCTGTAATCTGCTCCGCGGTCCTTGGTCAGCATATCATAGCGATAACGGTAAAAGAATTGATTGTGCTTAAACCCAATAGCTTCTTACATTCCTGAGACATGTATCATGTTCAGTTCACCAACAGATACTGTATGTCACGTAATATCAACTTCTCAAATGACCTTGGTAAATGGTTTCCTACAGTTTGTTGAGAATAATATTCCGCTATAAACGTAATACAGTAAAGGGAGCTTCTTTTATTAACATTCTTGTAATAAGGAAGAATTTGTTTCAGTTATGTTTGGGGGTGAGCGGAAATTATCAGAATTCCCGGATGCGAGTCAGTCCATGCCTGATCTTTGACTACTCAAACCACAGCAACATGTGCTATAAGCCGGAACAATTTTGGTGTTACCGGAGCTAGCGATCATATGTAGAAACCACGCGATTCTGTTGTAACCCGTGGCCTCGCGTGACCATTTTCGCTAGTGGGGGAGGGGGGTTGTAAGAGATGCAAAAACATATTTTACCGACAAAAATTATTTTGTTACACTAACATTTTGTTATAAATTTAGTTCTTCCGACAAGTTCTCTGAACGTTTGGGATGTACACCCCCACACCCCCCGCACACTACGCCCCTGGTTGCAACCCCAGGTATTTCATCTGAGAGGAAGAGTTCCTTGTCTGTTGTGCAACTGAAAGATCTGGGGAGTGATACTTGTGAAGGAAATGGTGGAAAATCTATAAAAATTTCTAAACTTTGAAGATGGCATGAAAAAGTAGAAACATATTTTGTTCCACTTTTTTGCTTTTTCGTGCCATCTTCAAATTTTGGGGTACCAAAAGTTTTTTGTCAAGTTCCGTTTTGAAAGATGGCTCAGCCTCCCGACTGATGTTTCAGGGCCTCCGACTAAGGGAGGGGGGCAGGGGGCCCTGGCCTCTCCACTTTTTTGCAAAACAATAGAGCTTTTTAGAAAATGTTTTGTTTGATTGTAAAAATCTCCCTAGGCCCCCCCCACTTCCCAATTTGCATCGGAGCCCATGTGTTTAACAAGTTTTTCTAGCTTTGGTCTTCGCCATGGCGCAAACAACAAATTACGTTACTCTGCTATCACTATCAGAAGAGCCAGAGCTTTTGTGCAGTCAAGTTAGGCCCTTAAAATTATAGCATTTATGGATAAAGGTGAGCCATTGAAAAATGCATTTAAACATTTGACTCTTGAGATGGCCACTATCCACCAAGCCTGTCTTTAGCCATCAACTTTTGTGGTATAGTATAGCAATTCAAAGCAGGCCCAATTTTTGTCGTTGCCACTGTTTTGATTCAGGAGATAACTTCGAATATACAGTCATTTAATTACAAATTCAATCAGGGAACCAAATCATATACAATACAAGCATTGGTTAGCCACTGAGCCCAGAAACATTTGTGTCTTTGTCGGTTGGTTTAGCGCATTCTCTTAGACGATGAAGAAGAATGTAGGATATCCCTTTTAAGCGACGTACTTTTTCTCAAGTTTTGTTGTATGTTTTTTTTCTACATCAAACTTATAGACAAACATGAAACTTTTCAGTAGCTCCTACGCTTTGTAGAAAACCTCAAATTAGGTCTATAAATGGCAATTAATTAGGTCTATAAACGTGATGGTTGTGTTTCAAACCATCACGTTTACGGAATTCCAGTGCTCCAGGATCCACCAATCCGATTTTCCTTTGGTCCGTTTAATTGCTCGAGTTTCAAATATGGAAGTCTATCTTATTAATCAACGCAAGTTATGTTGGTGGAATTCCATATTGACTTCAATGATTAGGTCCTCGAACGGCACATCAACGCAAGGCTGTGTTTATGGACTAAATGGCAGCCGTTTGTTATAACCATGAAGATATTCAGGATTTCAGAATCATCTCGACATTGGGTAGGCAAATTTTCAGTTCCTTGTCAACTGTAATTATTTGTGGATCGTGAATATCGCTCCTTGGCACATTTGGAACTTTTATCGTCTCAGGTGTAATCAGTTACATTTGATATGAACACGAATGGTCCAAACGCACGATTGTGCAGAGCTAAGTTGGTGAATGCGTTTGAATTCTTTCATATCAGGTACCCATGTAAGCTACCATTTTGCTGAAATGTTCCAACATTGTCGCAGTGTCGTAGTAGAAGTCTGTACTGCTCTTTTTGATTGCTAAATGCACATTGCAAGGGCCTAGACGGACACCACAAACATGCATAGTTTTTAATTCTTTTGATTTGCTAGCATATTGCTACATAACTTTCATAACGCGTCGCGTGGTCGCTGGACCACAAGTTCTGTGTCATTATTAGTAATTTCCTCTTTCGAGCCAAGTTAATGCGACAAGATTTTTTTAAGACCAGTTCCACCATGTTTCGGGAGAGTGGACTCTTTTTAATACCATGTTTCAGGGT